GTGTGTGTGTGTGTGTGTGTGTATAATATATGTGTGTATAGGTATCCCGCGCTGACCCATGCAGACAGGGTGGCAGCAGTAAACAGTCGGACTCCACTGTTATCCAAGCCGTGTGGATGAGGCGTACACAAAGACATTGACAATTCTATTCACAAGTCAATGGAGGAGAACAAGTTGTATCTGCTGTGCCTGGGGAATAATTTCACAGTTATCTACCCCTTAGCTTCCACCACCACCAGAGAACACCACGTCCGGCTTTGATGAACACGGCGTGGCGTCACGGGGAAATCAGGCGCTCGTCAAAATGATAACACCGAAGAAACCGCATTTTTTCCTGCCAGTTTGGCCAATTTCCATTAATTGTTTTTAATAAAAAAAATTTGGGGTTGAGTTTTGTGTGTGTTTTGTTTTGATTTTTGTTTTTGCTCTACACTTTTAAAGTCCAATTAAGCACATTTCTGTGTGGGTTTTGGAACACGTTGATCAAAGGCACACAAAAAAACCAAACTTGCAATTTTCAAGGACTCTCAAGCGTTGGAAGTTACCAAACTTTGGCGATCATTTCCTCTCCTATTTTACCTCTGACATCAGGCGACCTCCGACTTCTTCAATTTCAATCGCAAATATCTCGACTTCTATTCAAGATCGACGGGTATTTTTCATCTAAAGCAAGAAAAAAGATTGAGTTTTAAAATTATACCAACGACTCCATTTGTCCTCAAAAATGGCCGAGCGCCTGATACCACGACGTCGTGTTCACCAATGTATGCATTGATTCATTTCCCGTCTGTCTATCTCTAGCGTCATCCCTGTCCAGAAATCAGCACAGAAAAAACTCAACAGCCAAACTTGGTGGAAGCAAACGATCGCGCCCATTGACAACCTGGGTTTGCTTGACAGCGACTTTGATATACTACACGTGGGAAAAAAACTGTGACATGTTCAGATCTTTGTTAGAGCACCGAGACACACATGGAAACGATAGCGGTCGTTTTAGTGCAAAGAAATAGCGAGGTAGACAGAAATTATCGAGACGGAGACAGCAGCACAGGGAAAGAAAGACGCCCCCCTCACACACACACAATTATATAACGAACAAATTTTAGTTCAGGGAAAATTCAAACAGACAGAAACAACAGAGGGAAGAGTCTGTGAGACAAAGTCATTATTCCCTCCCCCCTTCCCCTCCCACGTCATACAGACACACACGCATACGCACACATACACAATATCACAAACACACACACACACACACACACACACACACACACACACACACACACACACAGCCACAACCAGGGAGTTTAGCCTATCCATCAAGCTCACAAAGTACTTCTTTATTTGGCCCGTTCTTCATTTCTTCATACATTGTACTTCACGAGAAAAAACAAACCACACTTATTTTAACAGCTGCGGAACGACTTCTGGTCTATCGTGAGCGATGTGTGACTGTCGATAGGACACATAAATAACTCCATATGCCCCACAGGCGCATCTGTACCCTTCACATCTGTCTATCTATGTAGGAATCTATCTATGGGTGTATGTTTCTATGTATGGCGCACCTATCTATCTATGTATCTTCTATGTATGAAGTAATTATGTCTCTAGTATTTATCTAATCCTTATCTTTCTAGGCATCTATATATTATTTATCTAATATCTCTATTTACAAAATCTATCCATCCAATCACCCACCCATTCATTTAACTATCTCCCCCCCCCTCTCTCT